CACCCTCTGTACCTCTACCACCCTAAATTGAGGCTCTGCCATGATGAGTTAGCGGTGCTGAAAAAAACGTAAGGATATGTCATACATATTTTTCAGACATGTTTGAGAAGGAAAAAATAGTAAGAGTTACTGAGATATATTAACAGGTACCACTGTTGTAATAAGCTAAGTTCTTAACTACTTAAACCAATGGTTCCCAAACTTAGCAGAATCATTCTTTTAACTAATTTCTTAACTTACCACATTAAACGCATGACTAATACCAGACAGTAAAGAAAATGACTAAAGCATTCTTTTCCACAATAGTCCAGTGGAACAACTAAAACACCACAGCCTGGGAAATTTCATTTTCAGTGCTGTGAAGACATTAGTTGAGTCCTAGAATACTGCACACATCCAAGAGTAAACAGGTCAGACTTTTATTTCCACTCCATTCTAGCAACCGTCACATGGACAGCATAAAGCACAAACTTTTAAGGCCTGGAGTTAAATCTTAGTACTACGACTTACCAACTAAGTCTTTATGGAAATCAGTCTACTTGAGACTCAGTTTCCTCAGCCATAGAATAGCACCAATATCTTAAAGCATTATGAGGATAAAATATTTTAAGAATCCAAACAAAACAGTCATTCTTCAAGTGTGTGCTCTTCTGCTCCACACAAACTGCTGTATTTGAAAAGCCAAAAAAGTAACTAATATTCTATAGACTGCAAAAGCAAATTCAATTCTAATATTTAAAGAAATTGAACTCGGGATTTAGCTCAGCAGCATAAGCACCTGCCTAGCAAGCACAAGGTCATGAGTTCAATACTGGGTAACAAAAATAAAAATAAAAATAAAAATAAAAATAAAAATAAAAATAAAAATAAAAACATTACCTAGTGTAACAGCAGACCAGGTCATTCAAACAACACTCCACAATGATCAAAAAAAGCAAGCAAAAAGGTTTTTAAATTTCTCACACATATGATGGAAGAAACTAGTTAAAATAAAAATGTTAAAAATGATCAAACCAACATCTAGTAGAGAAAAAAAAAAAAAAAGTCCCAAGAAATGGGCACAATCATAAGCGCGTTAGCAAAGTCCAAGACATGCTCAGAAGGTGCTATATACAGCCTAGAAGGACAGAAGTCCAGGGTCCATCAAAGGAAGGAGCCCTAGCAAATCGTAAGGAAAAACCAGACTTACAACAAACCTTGCTTGGTCTGTATACTTGGTTCAATTCATCTAGAATCACCAAGAAAAGCTGAAACAGAATGATCCCAGAGTGTTAACATCCCAACACACCTGACCAAAGGAAATGACCACGCTCCATACAAAAACATAATATCCCAGATGTAGGAAAAAACTCTACAATGCTTATTCCAAATAATTTCTGACTCACAATCAACACAACCAGATACATAAAAAGGCAACACAACATGAATGACAACTAGCCAATAGACAACTGAAAGATACATAAGAACTTTAATATTAGAATTATCAGACAGACTTTAAAATAATCATGCATTCCCAAAAAATGAATGGATAAACCAATATATACCTTTATATATAGTATTCATATATGTAAACTGAATGAGTAAATAAATACATATTCATACAGTACACTAAACAAGTGCACTAAAATGTTAATTGGAAAATCTAGTTGATGGGTATACAACTATTCTCTGTAAAATTCTTAATATTCTAAGGATTAAAAATGGCAAAGTAAAGACCAGCAGCAAAATATAGCCTCTGTAGGATCAGTAATCAAGACAACTAGAAAACAACTTAGAGAAGAGAAAAAGTAGAGCTCTGAGAATCAAGGAAGATCCAACAGGAAAACTAAAAAACCACAGAGAAACTGAAGATAATGCAGAGAATGAAGAACTTTGGAACACACACCCTCAGTACAGAGGGGACCTGTCTCTGCAAACACAAGGTAGGCCAGAGAGGGCTGGCAGCCCCCATGAAGGAACAACTCACTAGCCCCAAGAAATGCCCACGGTTACTGTCAGCTGCAAATACAGTGCGGAGTTTTAATTTGAAAGTAACTTCCTCTTCATGGCAAGATATAGCAGGACAAGAAATTCATTGTAGTATCCATCATACATGGGAGTGATCAATAATCTTATCAAACTAAACACTATAATGAAAAAAAATGACCAGTGGATCATGAGTAAGAATATTAACTGTAAGAATAAAAGCCTGCTGGGCGATTACAGAATAAATCAGCATAATTTATCACATTAATAGATTAAAATGGATTTATGATCACTTCATTAGATGCAATAGACGTATCTGATAAAAGTTTATATCTCATTAAGATATAAATTCTTAGCACACCAGAAACAGAAAAGAACTTCCTTACTCTTGTAAGATATTTACAGAATATCACAACAAACATCACCCTTAATGTTTAAACAGTGAAGATTTTCCCCTTGAGATCAGGAACAAGACAAGGGTGTCTTCTGTCAGAAATCTGCCAGAGGTCCTAGCCAAAACAAAGTAAAGCAAGAAAGAAATGAAGGTATAGATTGCAAAAAAAAAAAAAAAAACACTCCTTAATCACAAATGATAAGGTTAATACAGAAAACAAAGTACAGAAAAACTGTTAGAAATAAGGATGTGCAATATTGTTATGCAAAATTAACTGCATTTCCATGTAAACTGCAATTAAAAAACAAGTTTAAAAAAAAGACTCCATTTTAAAATAGCCTCAAAAAAGTAAAATCAATGAGAATGCCCAAGTACACATAAAGGAAAGTCATATTCCTTGACAGATATTTGAGAATGAAAACATGTGCAACGTTCATGACTTAGAAGACAAAATTTTGTAACAATATCAATTTTCCCAAAATTTACTTAAAGTCAAAGTAAACTCAGTAAAAATCTCAGTGGGATTATGTATGTATGTATGTATACAATGTTTAAGGGCATATGAAATGAAAAGAACTAATATCCAGGATACTAGAGTGAAAGGTGGTGGCAATAAGAACTATACATCAAGTCTGACAAAACACGGAAATTTATGAAAAGAGATCAATGGAGTAAAACAGAGATCAGACAGGTCCATAGCAATTCCAACAACTAATATAACTTTGACAGCATGATAAAAATACAAAAAAAGTTTTGTTTTGTTTTTCCAATAAATAATGCTGGGATAAAGATCAATCTACATGGAAACAAATAAAAAGTAAACTTCTACTTCCCGCTATTTACAAAAATAAATTCTACCTAGTCAGTAATGAAATTTAAGGCAATAGCTATATCCAAAAACAACTATTTCAAGATAAAACAAAATGCACTGATTAAATATTGCTAGCAGAAGGTAACTTAAGAACGAGCTTTATTAATGTCTTATATAAAGTAACAAAATAAGCAATTATAGTAAAGTCATTAAGGAAGCAATATTTTCACTAACATAATATCAGAAGCAAAAATCCTTTCTTGAATGTGTCACTAAGATCTCAATATTTAATTCTTTTGTTAAAATATATTATCCAGTTCTGTTCACTAAGGCTCAGCCAGAGACCATGACAGTCCAGCAATAATAAATGTGATAAGCTTTCAAAACAGTGGCCTTAACTACCATTCTCATTTTTTAAAAGTTGATTCTAGTTGTGCGCCATAAACTATAATCAATCCTATCTTTCAAATCCTGAAAGCAAAGAAACTACAAAAGAATATTATAATCATATAAGAACATTAAGTCAAATTTTAAGGTTTCAGTATCAAAAGAAGATAATCTGAGCATCAAGAATAACAATGAGTTTTAACACATTAAAAATACACAAATCAAAGCTAGACGCAGTGGTGTGCCCTAGCAGTCTGAGCACAAAACCCACAATCTACTGCCTATCTTTGCAACTTGTCAGAGACCAACTTGAAATTCTGAAATTTAATAAAGGGCTATATAGAATCAAGCCTTCTCCTGACTTTCCTACAAAGGTTCTCTAATTTCAAAATAACCAAATATTTGATGAAATAAAGTTTTTCTTATTAAAAGAATTACAGCTAGTAACAGCAAGAGGGATTATAAAATTAGAGATTTACCATTCTGATATTCTAAAAAGAACTTGTTCAACAAGCATAGATGACTACTGAAAGCATTACGTGAAAGGCAAATGGGGAACTCTACAATGGATTAATCAGACTGGCAGCAACCTGCTCAATCTGAAAACTGCTAAAAATGAAACAATTACAATATTAACATGTTTTTCATGATGTGATACAACGGAAAAATCCACAACACCATCAATAAAATGGGTTAAAATTTTTAAATTAAACCTAACTCTAGACCTAATTATCAGTTTACATGAAATAAGAGATTGACAAACATGTTAAAATACCCATGAACATTTTAAAACATGAGAATACAATCTACAAAATACAAAATGTAAGAAAATTTACAACATACAATTCAATTCTCCTACAAAAAAGAAAATTGAAAAGGTAAAACGATACAGATTTACATACAACAACCAATTTTATATGTGCATACAACCACCAATTTTATATGTGCATCTTGTTCAGATACTGAGGCAAGCAAACATTTATACATTTAGGCTTTTTGAGATAACTCAAAAGAGACTGTGAATTATGTTAAGAAACTATGGTTAACTTTGTTGGATGAGACAGTCCTAACCTGCTACACTGGAGGCATACTGAAGTATTTACTAGAAAAATGACATAGTGTCTAGTGTTTGCTGTGAAATATTGCAGATCCACTAATCAATTATTTGTGCAATTAAAACTTAAACAGGCAAGGAGGTAGGTAAGTTGTTGGTGGATGGGTGAACAGATACAGTTTCCTCAGGAAGGGTAGTGATTATAAATGAATGAACTCAAATTAAATGAGAGTAAAACAATAAAGCATTTAGATAATATAAACTATTTCCATATTCTCAGAGTAATTCAGGAGTCAGTAAACAAAATTCAAACCTCACCATATAAAAACATGACATACCATATATAACTATAAAAACTATCTACTTTACATTATTGTTAAGGTACTTACAGCCGGTAAAAGAGTTTGCATATTTTGATTAGAGTCTGCTATTGTAGCAAGGTACACCAAGTTTGTATGCAATATCTGCTGATACCTAGTAAAACAAAAGAAATACCAAGATTAAAAAATAATTTTATTCCTATCTACTTAAATACAAACAGCATACTAATCATTTCTAGAATTTTATAAAGATGCATTATCTAAACATCAATAGCACTCTTCCTGTTTCCTCTGCAAAATAAATCGAAATAATAAATAATACACTCAAGATAATGAACAGAAAAATCTTACCATGAGCTACATTTTGTTATAATTGTTTTATACACACATATGTTTCAGTGAATATTCAAATCAACACTGTTATGTAGGTGCTCTAGATTTCTCCTTTTTACTGGTAAGGAAGCTATGGTTTTAGAGAGGATGCTAATTTGTACAAAATTGCATAGCTAGCAAACAGGCTAATTAGTATATGACTAGCTTCTTACATAGTATGTTAGATTTTTGAAAAATAACCAAAATGAAGAAATTCAATAAAATATTATGCCCTTTTGCCACTGCTGTCGTGCAAGAAGTCTCACATCTACATACAAAATCTTCTGTTAAAATGTCAGAAAGGATGTGAGAATCACACATTTTCATTCCTGTAAGTCATTCCTTTTCATTCCTGTAGTTATGACTAAGTAAGCCTACTGTGGTTACACTTCTTATCTGTCAAGAAAAGTGGTTATACTATTTATCTAGTTCACAAGACAACACCTAATTTCCAGTCATAGAAAAAGTGATATGCTAAAAAGAGATGACAGAAAAGCTGAAACACTAAGAAAACTAAGGATTAACTTTTAAAAATACATTCTCAACATCGAAGAACAAACATGCATATTTTAGCATTGTTTATGATCATGCCCATGTGCATGATCTTAGTGCATGCACACAGCAAGCCTCATAAACACAAACTTAAAACCTGCATCAAAGTGTTAGGCTATCTTAAAATTTCATTTTCCACAAATATTAACTACAAATTAAAATAATAAAAATAAGTCAAAAGAATTTTATTCAGATAAAATATTCTGATTCAGATCCAAAATGAAATAATTTTCTAAAACAAGCACCATAAAGGGAATCAGAAAAAATTCTTTAGTATCTTCTTATTCCTGTTCTGAACAACTGGTTTCACAACTATTTATTAGGAAAAATAACTTTCCACTAACAAAGTTTCTTCACTAAAATGTATATACTTTCAATGCTTTCCTCAGTGTACCTACATGATATACTTGTTATAATCAATCTTTAGATAAATGAGGATCAAAATACAATTATATTTTTGAAATTCTTCAAACATCACTAACCACTAGTTGGAACTATTTTGTTATTATTTAGCAGTCTTAAACAAAACTTAAAATTTGGGACTCCAAGGTCTGGGGATATATATAGTTCAATGGTAGAGGACTCAACCTAACATATGCTAGCTGCTAAGTTTGATTGCCAGCACCACAAAAAGGGAAAAATAATAATAATATTGCCACCTTATGACCGTGTGTATGTGTGTGTGTGTGTGTGTGTGTGTGTGTGTAAAAGAGAGAGGGAGAAAAGAGACAGAGAGAAAAGAGAGACAGACAGAGAGAGAGAGAAAGAAAGAGAGAGAGAGACAGAGACAGAGACAGAGACAGAGAGAGAGAGAGAGAGAGAGAGAGAGAGAAAAACAGGGTCTTGTTATGCAGTTCGGTGGGTTTAAGGCCAGCCTGAGCCACATAATGAAACTCTATCTCTAAATACATACATACATACATGTTATTATTCTGATTAGCACTTAATATGCCAGTGTTTAAAAAACTATTTAATCTAATCTGACACACTTAAATCCTAGTCTCATTTTCTAATAACAAACATTAAGTAGATCTCTTAAATCCTCTGTAATTTTAAGTATCTATAAACACATTATTTATGCAAGCGTGTAATTTTTAAGGCAAATTGTCAAATCCCCTCCCAAACATAAAACTTTTTATTTAATATTAAAATTATTTCATTTAAAAATATTTTTAAAAATTATTTTTTAAAAGTTCCAAATCTAAAAAGAAAACAATAAAAGAAGGATAAAATGCAAACAAAGCTTTGTAAATGAGAAGAGGGATTGAAGAAAGAGGAAAGGATTGGAAAAAAAGAAGGAAAGGATTAGAAAAACTTTCAAATCCTTCTTCAGATTTCTTAATTGTTAATACTTCATATCTGTCCTTTCTGTCTGTAAATATTTTTTCCAAAATCACTTAAGAGTCAGGTGTAGACATAATACTCCTTTACTCCTTATCCCTTTAATGTTAATTTCCCAGAAAAGGAGCACATCCCCTAACATCATACAACCATCACAGTGAGAAAGCAACATTGATCACTATCACCCTCTAATCCAAAGAACCCACTCAAATCTATTCTAATGCCTTCATGGCATTTTTTTCTAACATAAGAAGGCAGCAAAACAAATATTTTTATTGGGCTGTTCCAATTTCAAAAAGGTTTTCTTTTCAGTGAAATTACATTGTTTTTACAAGCATTCATTAAATGTTTATTTGAAGATACTACTAGACTCAAGAGATGAACATTAACAAAAGAAGTATATATATTCATATGCTTTTCTAGATTTATATAGAGGTCACCTAAAATTCAATTTTAAAAAATTCTAGAACCTGGACCTAGTTAAGACTACCAAAATGAGAACAATATTAAATAAATATTTTTCCTGAAAAACTTAATTTTTCTTTCTTTTTTGGAGGGGCGGGGGCGGGGGCGGGGACGGGGACTGAACCCAGGAGACTACCAGTGATCTACACCCTCAGGCCTTTCTTTTAAATTTTGTTTTGAGAAACAGGCTCACTAAATTGCCTGGGTTGGCCTCAGGATTACAAACTTCCTACCTCAGTGTCCTGGGTGGGCAGGATACAAGCATTCACTACTACACTCAACACTTATTATTCTATAAGCACGTTACATTTATTACTGAAATAGTTTACAATCATTCCGTTAACATTTCAGTCAAAAATTAACTGCATGTACACTGGTATACACAGTGGGCCCACAAATTACATCACTGACATCACAACCATCTTAGTTTGTGTACTAAGTGTGCTGATATTTGCACAACAATGAAACTGCCTAATGATGTATTTCTCAGCCTCTCAATCATTAAGTGACACACTCCCTTGTACATTCTTAATGTCTACACAGGTCTAAAATAGTTTATGTTAAGCGGGGCATGCTGGCACACTCTTGTAATCCCAGCACTCAGAAGGCTGAGTGAGGTAGGAGGATCATTTCAAATTGAAGACCAGCGCAAGCTACAATGTGAGCCCAACGCCAGCCTGAAATGCATAAGGACAGCCTGTCTCAAAAAGACAAAAAATAACTTTATGTTAATAAAGGAAAATCAAATGTAAGCTAAAAGCAGACACAAAACATACTCGGCATGTTATTTTTGACGATCATAACTATTTTGTAAGATAGCAGATGTATATCTCATCTCAGCAGCGGTAGAAAAAAAAAGATAGCAGATGTATAATGCAGTCAATATTTTGTTTGATAATGGTAGAGTCCTAATAAAAACTTACAAATATTTCCAAATATCTATCATTACTAACCTATTAAATGAGAGTTGACTTTCTAAACATTCCAGTAAGTCACTACATTCCAGTAAGTCATTACTTTGCAGAAAGTAAAATAACTATTAAGTATATTGATTTAACTTAAAAATCTGAGTAAGTCAGATTGCATTTTTTGAAAAGTACTTTTATTTATACAGTATCAAAAGTACATCTAGTGGCCAGGAGGAATATATTTGACAGAATAAAAATTATCTTCCCAAGTAGAAATTTAAAATTATATTCCTTCAAACAACTACTGATTTTTTGCCATCAGAATTACTTATAAAATATTCAGATAGTTGGAAACACCCTCAAATTCAAAAAATAAAGGCTGACTGAAGCAAATAAAAGGCTTTTAGAAAATGGTCAATTAAACACAAGAGAATAATAATAGATTCTCATATACATGTCACTAGAATGTGAAGAGAAGCAGACCTGGGGACATTCAGATCACAGATTTCTATGACTATAATCTATGGCATATTTGTGTAAGTCTGCAAATATTATTAGATGAGCAATAGACATAAAGGTGTTATGAGTGAAAACTCTTTGAGTGGCTGAAGTATGATGCTCCTTTTCTTACTTTAATTCGTATTTTCTAACTGTTTATAATGCATATACTGTTCTCATAAAACAAATTTTTCATTAAAAAAAACTGCTTCAGGCAGTCATCATATTTGAAAGAAGTATTTAGAAATGGACTATCAATTCCCAGATGGCTGTCTTTACTAAAGCTTCTATTTATTTTCCTTTTGCCTTTTACTGTAAAAAAAAAAAGAGCACAAACATTTCTTGAGACTGTGAGGAAATTTTGTTCTCTTGTCTCATGATCATTCTTGACAACTTGAAAAACAGATGTGAAGATAAGAATGAAAATTAAATCCATCACAGCTAAGAACACCAGGATGCACCTGTTGTCTCGGCCACTCAGGAAGCTGAGGCAGGAGGACTGTTTGAGCCCAGGAACACAGAGCCAGCCTCGACAAAACAGATCCCATCTCTTAAAACAGTAAGAAAGAAAAATGAAGAAGAAAAGAAGTAAAATTCTTCAGAAAGAACTGAATTTAAGATTCTATCCTAAACAACTGAGGCCTCATTTTCAACAAATACATGGGTAAAAAATGAGGTTCTATTCCAATTTTCAGAGAATGAGAGAAATCATTATGCAGTACATAAAAAAGAATATAAAGAATAACTTAGTATAAACTTTTGCTGACTCAATTTGGAAAAGTGGGATCTAACGGTGAACATCTACTGTCCATAATACGTACTACTAAGTCCAACAAAAACTGAACGTCCTGTACCAATATCCCCCTCGGCTCTACCTGGGGTTCTTCAAAGTTTTAGGTAAAAATAGTAATTGTAAGTACTGTCTCTCAATTTTAACCAATTCTTGGCTCACTTAAGGATCTACTTATCACTGACAATTATCCATAAAATGAAGTAGGTCAGCTAATAATTTTTAAAAAGAATTTTTCAAATATATATAGACAAGATTCACTAAAAGAAACAACACATAAAAATGGAAATAGTCATACAAAATGAAAAATAAAAAATAACTGTAATGTAAGACAACCTAACACCCAGAGTTTAGTTTCCAAATACCATTCTATAAAAAAACAAGTGGGGCTTAGAGAAGTAGCTGATTTTAGACTTGCCCAGAAAAAAGTACAGAATAAGATGGGAACATTTCGTGATACAAGAAAGTGATCAAAAATAATGGAGACATGTCAAGAAGACAGGACAGAGATGTTCCCAATGGCCAAACCTGAAACAATCAGAGAACATAAAAAAAACAGTACTAGAATAATAAATTATAACCTAGAGAATATAATAAGAATGTAGACATCCATTCAGACAGAAATATGACTGGGAAAAAGGTTGAGAAATGTCCTTCTTATAGCAGAATTACAAATAAGTGTCTATGATGACTTTAGCTACTGTTTCACAACTACTACACTATTACCTATCTCAGGCAACAGTCGCTGATGGATGCTACAATTAATATGCCGAAGTCTAATAAGAAACATCACATGTGCATCTCAAGTTATCACCCCAGTCAGATATGCATGACTTACAAAGAAAAAAATAATAGGGGGCTGGGGATGTAGCTCAGCGGCATAAGCACCTGCCTTGCAAGCAGGCGGTCGTGAGTTCGATCCCTGGTACCGATAAAAAGTTAAAAAAAATAATAATAATAATGACAACATAAATGTTAGAGAAAATGGCACCATCCTAAGTGATCAAACAAATCACCAGTTTTGGGACAGTTACTACCATACAGCTTCTGAACATACACTGAGAAGGGCACAATAATATCACAATTGTGGGGCAACCTGCTCGGGACCCCCCTGTCTGTCTCTTAGACAGAAGCTTTCTTTCTCTCCATAAATATTCCTACTCTTAAAAAAAAAAAATCACAATTGTGGTACTACTGAAGTTAAAGTCTATAATGTGAATTTCACAGAGAAACATTAATCCCAAAAGAGGGACATTCCACAAAATAACTGGTCTGTACTTTTTTACAAAGTCAACATTACAAAAGCTGCAAGATTGTGGTATACTGACAAGACCTGCAAACTTAAAGCAACATCTGAACCTTCACTGGGCCTCAGACCAGAACAATAAACAGACAACTGGGAAAACTCAAAAAGGCTCTAAACATTGGATAATAGTATTTTATTTTGATTTTATTATACTTGACAATTACATTTTGGCAATTTAAGAATGTAATGCTGTTTAAAAAACACTGAGATTTTTAAAAGAATCATATCTGCAATTATTCTCAAATGTTTCAGAAAAACAATATGAGAAAGAAATGAAAACACAAGTAGGCCAATATGATTTGAGAAATCTCAGTGATTTGAGAAATCTCAGTGATAGGACAATGTCTTGTCCTATCTGAAATTTTTTCTGAAATGTGAAATCATTTCAAAATAATGTATTTTTCTTAAGCTATCATTTTTTTAACCAATCAAACATATGGAAATCTTTAAAAGATGGCTACTATCCACTGTTGACAGGCATAGTTTAAAACCAAGACTCTAAAAACCTAATTGAGAGAAAGCAGACCCATACAATCTCTCTGCAGGGTATTTTGAAAATTTAGCATAGTTTCTGACCAATAATTGCAATTCAAAACTGTACTTCAGTCTGAGGATGCTATTCAGTGGTACAGCATCTGCCTAAACCCAGGATCTGATCCCTGACACCACTAAACACAAAACGACAATAAAAAAACAAAATTGCAACCTACGTAAATATTAGAAAAATGACATACATGAAAGCCTATGTGTAAATGTACAAAAATAAGTGTTAGAAGCACACATACTAAAGCACTAAACGCAGTTAACGCTATGGAGGGAAGGGAAATAAGGCAGTGGGAATAAAACATTAATTTTTATACTCTGGTTTTTAGTTTTTTTAAGTAATCAGCATGACTTTTCTATTTTATAGTTTTTATCTGGAGAAAATAAGTAATGAAGAGATTAGGTAAAGAGTGAATCAAATGACAAGAGACCAGCACAGAAGGAAAACCAAGGAAACCAGGGTTTGCCGAGAATATCTCTGCCTGGGAACAGACCAGTAAGATCTCTCTAGAAGCACAGGCATGTGCCAAAACAATGGTCTAAAAATATTCTGAAATTCTGATGCCCAATGAAGTAGCCATGAGACACAAAATGTGGCTAATCCAAAATGTGATGGGTTACTCCAAAAATATACAAAATGGACTTTGGAGACTTTGTATGAAATAATGGAATATAAAGGAACTCATTAATAGACATTAACTATATACTGAAGTGATAGGATATTCTTCTCTTCCTCTCAGCCTCCCGGGTGCTGGGCATACAGACAGGTATGCACTACCTTGCTCAGCTGAAATGCCAGAAATTAGTTTAAAAAAATTATCAACATTAATTTCATCTGTCTCTATTATTTGTTACTATATTTATTGGAACATTTAAAATTACATATAAAAAATTGGGCGTGGTGACACACGCCTGAAATCCCAACACTCGGCAGGCTGAGGCAGAAGGACTGTTGCCAGTTCAAGACCAGCCTGGGCTACAAAGTGAGCTCAAGGTCACACGAACTGCATAGCGAGACTCTGTCTAAAAAGACAAATGTATATATATATCAAAATATACAATAAATGTTTAAATTTCTAAAAATTACAGTGAAAGACCCATTGTCACTAATTCTCCCTAAAGTACTCCCCATTTGCTTCAAACACACATCCCACTGTCCTTGCCACTTTGTAAAGTAGCTCTGGAGTTTTTCACGTCTTTATAAGGTATGATCAAAAATATAGAGAATGCTGCTGCCAAATGTCACTCAACAGAAAGGCATTCTTTAAAACATTACAGTGAGTCCTCATCTACCTTATTCACCAGATACGGCACAAAATACTTCCGGCTCTTCCACAAAGTCAAAATGACCATAAAAGATAAATGTTTTGAATAGATTCAGAACATCAAGGCAGCTATACCAGTAGAACTGAAGACACTCCTGAAAGAAGACTTACAGAACCGCTTCTCAAAGTGACAAGAATCCTAAGGGAAGCATGTTGGAAGCAACAGGAACACTGTATCTTGTAAGAGACAGTGTATTCTTTTACTGTAATATACATTTTTTAAATTTACACTTTCACTATTCTTTTGATCATACATCATAGGTAGCTCGCATTTATGAATCTACTAGACAGCAGTGCACAGAGAGGCTTAACACAATATTCAACTTTTTCCTATCACATGAGATTCTATAAGGGTATAACATTAACTTCAGATACATCATTTCAAAATAAGCAAGTTCAGTCCTTACAAATGAGAAACAAGTCTCTATCAGATCAAAGTTTTGTTTTCATAGATAGATTTGGAGATATATGCAACTAACCATACTACACAGGCGAAGATTTAACTTTTCCACAGATCAGACTGTGCACAAACTTGAAGCTACTATTTTATAACACAGGGTAAACCTGATAGCTACCACCCAGTGCCCAGAGGAAAAATATGTTTCTAATAAAATCAGTACACACACAAAAAGTTATACACAAATGTCCATACACAAATTATGAAGTAAAAGTGAAGGCAATCCAAATACCCATTCCTGATGAACAAACGTTGTAAATGGAAGATTAGGTGGCACTGTAAAGGAACGCAGCACTGACACCTAAGTCAACTGGTACACATGAAATTTCAACAGACTGCACAGCGCTTGACTCCACTCACGGCAAGTTATCTCCAGTCCAGGGGTCAGAGATTGGTGCAGAGGATGAAGAACAACTGCAAATGTGTGTTTGTTTATGGGTTGAAGAAAATGTTCCCTAACTGAAGTGAAAACAGCACTACTCCATGAATACATTAAAAGACAATTAATTGTACAGTGTAATAGTAACTCAACAAAGTTGCATTAAAATGTAAAGTAAAAACTACCACAGAAAACCAAAAAACAAAGCGTATTTTTAATCTTACTGAGAACACTCTGAAGTCTTTCCTTTACTCTGATACTCCATTATACACTGAATTAGATGGTTATTTTCATCCAACATCTGCAATAAAATTAGAAAAAGTTTATTGGAAATCTGCTGTATCAAGTAAAATTTTAAAAAGCAGAAACTCAAAAAGGAAGGCATTAATAAACACTGAAGAAATTTAAAGTGGCTCCAATAACAAAACAGTTCCCCCAATCATTTCATCATAAAATCACGTAAGCAGAGAAACATAAAATTTTTTTAAAAGTACTTTTTGTTAATGTGCTGTTACAAAATATTTTTATTTTTGTTAATTACACAAGTATAAAATTACTTTTTGCACTAGGCCTATATTCCCAGTACATGGGAAGCTGAGGCAGGAGAATGGCTGTGAGTTGGAGGCCAGCATGGACTATACAGCAAAACCCTGCCCCCCCCGCAAAAAAAAACCTTTACTTTTTCTAATCTTACAACTTGCTGCTACAAACTCTTTTTAAATTCACTTTAACAAATTATAAATGGAATTTCGCGAATTAGTTCTCACACAAAATTTCACTATATACCAAACTGTATAAATCTCTTGAAACACAATATGTAACATACAGTTCATACAGACAATTCTTTTAAATAACCATTTTCCCTTGTAATTTCTAGAAATGTTTTATTTATAAAGAAAATCTGTTGAAGTCTTTTTCTGTATGTAATGTAGATCATCACTGAAAATTTTTCATATCCTTAAAATAGTATGCTTAATCAATAATTTTAGTATGTCTATTTCAATTATTCTGCCTATCAATTATTAACTGAGGCTCGGAAAAGCAAAACTGAGTTTCTTTTATATTCAAATATGTAATTGCCTCTGCTACCTAAAACGGTTACTTTTGCGGATGTTATTAATTTTTATTTTTATTGGGAGAAGTGCTTATAATACATGATTATATTCACTGTGGGAAGTTGCTACAGGTATATAACACATCTTACTTCTGTTTACTCCCCCTATCACTCTCCCTCATCTTCCTCCTTCTGTAATGTAGGTTAGCCAATTAAGACAAGAGCCCAAACTGGTTTTGCATCATTCTAACACCAGTGGTGGCAGTGAGGAAAAAAAATCTGTCCTTTTCCAGCATCAAGTAAATATATGAAAACTTTCAGTTCAGAATGCACGATGAGGTAGCTGGCTAGCTTCCAAGGTTTGTAACAGTACAGTTTTGTGATTCTCCGAATATGGCAAAATATTAATCCAACGATTCCTACACACGTAACACAGATTTTATATATGTATGTATAGACTATATATATGTATGCTATCTCAGAAGTTTAAAAACTAAAACTATGCCAATTTATATCACTTTATCATAATTCTAAGCAGTCTTGGTTTTGAGGGCCAAATGATTTACCTAAATTAAGTGGCACTGGGAAGAGTATAGACTGTAACAGTTAAAAGGGCAGTTAGTTTTAGTGCCGGCACTGTTATTCAGACCACTTAAATTTGACAATGAGAGGATTCCCTGAACCTGGTCTCAACCTTTCAGAATTCGGTGAAAGCATGAAGCACAGTACCACAATCCACTATTAATGTTAACTCCTTCAATTAAAAACGAATATCATTTAACATCAACTGTGAGTTTTTCCTGCAGTTTACCATAATCTTCTCTTGCTGAGGAGCAAAAAGCTCTCCCTCTCATGAGTGCGGTTATTTCTTAATAAAATCATTGGATGCCAAAAACTTGTCCATAAAATGCACTAACTGAACCCTCAATCTAACGAATTCACCTCATCTTTTTCATTATACTCCTCAACTAACAGACCTGACCATTACAATGTGTATCTTATATCTAATAACCTTGATACTGAAGATGATGAGGCGTTTAATTTTTATTTTTCTCTTTCATTTGAGGAAACATAATTGATCCACATTCTCTGAATTAATCACCCATGACACAATAAATATCTTAAAATTTAGGCAAAAAAAGTCGTTGTAAGAAAACAAACCAAAACAAAGAATAAAGCGACAGACTGTAACTTCAGCGCGGTGCATTCTATGAAATCACTGCCTTTCCAGGCACTGCCAGGATCGGTTGTTGGAACATAAAGCAACAGTTGGGCAAATGTCAAATGCCATGCTACAAAGAACCTGCCAGTAAACAAACCGATTAAAGTAATCATCTGTGGACAGTCCCGGGTGATACTAAAACTTGAGTTTTCTTCCGTTTTTCATCCTTGCGCCAGTACACAAAACAAAATGCAACTATTTAAGGTAACCTACTACAGTAGCAAGTTAACTTTTTGAAAGTCTAGCTCGTTAAAATTTAGAATGCTACCTTGCTCTTCAGCCACAAGACTGGGCAGAGCACAATAAAGAAACTTTGTGTCTACAATTGGCAGCAACACAGCAGTGACTGCGGCAGCACCATTCTCTAAAAAGGACGCAGCTCCTGGTGTTTCGGTCACGACTTATATAACCAGTCAGGACCGTGTCCACGCTCCCCACCTTAACCTCAGCGCTTGCCCAGCCACCGCAGGATCATTTTCTGCAGATGCAAATAAAGAAGGAGCGATCCAGCAAGGGGGCTCGGGGTCACCCTGAACTGCATGCAGTTGTTTCTCCTAAGAACTCCACTCAGGTCCCCAAGTTCTCCAGACTGAACCATAACTCGGCTCGAGTTTGCAGGGCGGCCCCCAGAGCCGGGCCGTCCCCCCACGCACCCCAAGACCGCGAGGAGCGCTGAGGAGCCGCGGCGCGCGGGGCGGGGCGACGCCGAAGTAACTCGGGCGACGCGGGGCGGGCGCCCCACCTCCGCCCTCCCCGGCGGCCGCGCCTGGAGCCCGCACCCCGCCGCCCCATCCCAGGAGAAATCGGGCGACAGTTGCTAGGGCTTTGTGCCGGCAAGAAAGAACCCAGACGCGCCAAGGACTCAATGAAGAAACCGGTTCGTCCTCTCCCGCCACCCACTCCGGCACACCGCCGGTCGGCACACCGCCGGTCCGCACACCGCCTCGTCCCAGCAGGCCGCCTCCGCCCCCGGCCGGCCGGGCCCCCCAGTCCCGCGCCGAGGCGGGACGGGCCCCGCATCCCCGACCCGCCAAGTTTCACCTTCTGAATCGCAGCAGGCGTGATCTCCCCTTTGCCTCGCTGTCTCGGGGCCGCGAACGCCACAGACATGTTGCCGCCGTCACCGCGGTGGGCAAGTCCCGAGCGCTCCGGGTGAACTGCAAACTGGGGGAAAGACGCCGGGCCCTCGGGCCGCACCACCTAAGAATGCGCGGAGGGGGGATGCTCCGGAGCCCAGCGCGCCGCGGGCCGGCCCGGCCTCTGCAGGGGGGGCCCCGGCCCGCGGAAACCCTACTTCTGAGTGTGGCTGAGGAGGGGGAGCAGCGGCAGAACTTCTGCGCCCCCTCCCGCTGTCGCGCCGCTCAGCCCGGCCTCCCCCGTACCCCCGTGCCTCGGCGCCAATGGTACGGCCGCGCCTCAGTCCTCCCTCCGCTTCAGCGATTCAGGAAATGGTCCCGCCGCCGCGGGAGAGGGAGAGGCCGGGCAGCGCTGTCACAGGAAATGTGAGCGCCCGGCCGGCCCGCCCCTCCGCGCCGAGGAGCGTCTCGCGTGCCTCCAGCTGCGCTCGGCGCTCCGCCTCAGACCCCTTCAGAGTTTCTAACTCCAGCCTCGCAGCGCCTGGGAAGAAACAACCTCAGCGAGCGGTCCGGGCAGCCCAGGGAGGGGAGGAGGCTGGGCAGGCTCGGCTCGCGAGTGCGTGCGGACCCGGGGAGCCCGCTGAGGCGCAAGCCCCGAGATCGCCGATTCGCTGGTTTGAACGGCTCGGCTACGCCCCGAAGTCTCACCTCCGAGGTCTCTGTGGCGCCCGCACGCTCTCCAAGTCTTGCGGAACAATCGGAAAAGAACCTGACCCGAAATGGGAACCCCAAGACTGATGACCAGGACTCTGGGGCAGCCGTCCAACAAGGTTGTTGCGGCTAGAGAGGAGCTCGCCTTCATGAACAAACTCGCGTTGGGGCTGGAGTTCTTCCTACTTTGGACCCTAAGCTTTGACCTAGCTTTGAGCTAGAACACACCTCCACAACTTTCTTTTCCAGTTACAGGTTTGCGGATTAGGCCCAAAAGGTTAGGCTTCAAATCAGTGTGTGTAGGGAAAGAAAAAAAAATTTAAATTAGTAAAGAACATAAGCAAAAGTGGGCGATGTATTACTATGGGTTTTTAGTTCTGTACATTCACACTGCCTTATAGCACAAAAGGAAAATTTGTATAAAATGTTATCCACCATTAAGGAGGCTCAAATTTCTATAGGCTTCTATATATAATAAACTGAGAGTAAAAACATTTGAAAAAAGTCCTTTCAGATGGATGCTTTTCACAAGAGTGGCCTTCATTCAATGAGCATATATGATTGTATTGCTTGTGCATGGTTTTATGTCAGGTGCCAGTGATACAAATGTCAAGAAGTTGGACGTGGAACCTGGACGTAGTTCACTCTAATACAGCATAGACCAAAAAGAAGTAAATGTATATGAAGTCTTAAGACAGACTAGCAAATAAGGAACAAGAATGTGCCTTTATGTGTGTTAATGTGGGGAATCTCCATTATATTTGAACTAAGACCTAAAACATGAAGGCTCGAGTCACTTTACCCACTTATCCTTCTCTTAGGATGATAAATATTCTAAATTTGTCTTTCACTATCCTACGTCTTGAAGAAAACTCTGGTATATTTGGACTTAATGTAATCACACCAAATTGGAAAAACCTGTTGAATTCATAACAAAAACCAAGCCTCCCCTGGCCCTGTGACTCTTTAGACAGTCTCCCTCAATTGCTACATTGCGCAGGCTGGAGTTTAACTGACTCTTCAAACCTCAGTCTTACAGGATGCTGGAACTGCAACAGGAAGCAGAAACCAATTCTTGTCCGCCACTAACCATGTGTGTCCAACGCCTGCCATACAACCATGTCTTGTTTACCCAAAAGGACCTGGATAGATAAGAACAGTATTTCAGCAAGCAAAGTGACTCTGGAGGAGTCCTTCACTCCAGTTGTGTTCAGCTGGCAGGAAGCATGAAAATGTTAAAAAGCAGCAAGAACTAGTAATATAAGCTATGGATTTCTGTATCCCAGTTTTAAAAATAATGTTCTGAGAGGACTTTCATTTCCGTACCCAAAGACAGGTACATTTTTAAATTGAAGCTTCCCAACCTTGGGAATGAGAAAGTGACTGAGAACCAGTACCAGGTCTCCCTGAGGTCACTCCTGCAGGGTATAAAGGTGGGGCCTGGAGTAACCTATTGATAGGACCTGTGCAGAATTAACTGGAGCCTTTTCTAATTTCTACGTGTGCAGTAGGATACTGTCATTTTTAAGGTGTCCTGTGACATAAAATCCATTAAGAAGCAGTTAAAGGCCGGCCAGTAATGCAAATTATTTCTATAAGAGAGGACACTTAAAAGTGACCCTCACCCTCCTGCTTCCTTTGTGAAACACAGTCACTTACCCTGACCTGGAAGAACAGAAATTCAGAAAAAGGAGATTGAAGCCTGAAGGATGCCTGAGCTAGGGGACACTTAGGGCAACACTATAAATCCTGTCTCACTTCACCTTTCTTTTGGAGAAAAGTATCAAAGTAGACCACGTGGTGGAAGAGTTGAGAGGAGAAAAAAAAAAAAAAATACGGGTCTTCAGCATTTAGGGACTGATGAGTCTGGGGTAGAGCACTTGCCTAGCAAACTGAGGGCCCTGGGTCTGATCCGCACTACCAAAAACTAAAAACAACTCTCCAGCCTTTAGTTAAGATATAGGAAATGCATATGAGAAGTTGGCCTAAAACTGGTGTTATATTACAAGGTATCGTCGAAGCACACAGTGAATGTTTAAATTTTTAAAAATTTTATTACAGTAAAAGATAGATTGCCATTTATGCCCCTCAAAATACTATCCTTTCTCTGAACACATCCCCATCATTCTTCACACTTTGTGAAACAGTTGTGGAAATCTCTTTCATGAGTGTCTTTAGTTCTGCTGTTCTGGCTGTCTTCATGCCCTGAACTGATTGAAATCCTTTACCTCTCCTGGTCATTTTGGTGAAAAGCCAAAAGTCACACAGTGCCAGATCCTGTGAATGAGGTGGATGATATGACACTTTGTTTGAAAGAAATTTCTGTAAACATTTGCTGAACAAAAGGTGATCAAAGGATATGGTGAACATCTAAGTTAAAAAAATGTTGACAGCATAAGATATGCTACCATTGGTCTGGGGATTTAGCTCAGCAGCATAAGTGCCTGCCTTGCAAGCAGGCAGTCGTGAGTTCGATCCCTGGTACCGATAAAAAAGAAAAAGACAAAAAAAAAAAAGATATGCTACCATTAACCCTTTTAAAGTCCTGCTCTTTGCTTCAAATACATTTCATCACTTTTGTCATTGGGTCTTTTACTGTAATATGTTTTTTAAGTTAAACATTCACTGTATTTGCTGATCACCTCTTGTACTCTGGTGACTTTAAAAAAAAATGCTACCCAGGTAATCACCTTCCAAACCAGAAAAATCAATCTCTTTATTTAGATGGCCACTGTATTGATTGATCTGATCACATAACCAACAGGTACAAGGTTAAAGAATAATCCTAATAGGAGAATATAAGAGTGCCTTAAACTAAGTAACATAACCTGCCTAAACAATTAACTCGGTTGAGAGATAAAGCTAATTCATTCAAGAAGGTAAACTAATTTACCACACACAAAAATATAGTACTTTATTGTGCAGAAGCAGAAAACTTTTTATGCTTGAATTTCAAATATTCCTCAAATTTAATGTGTTTTATATGAATTTGTTTGTATAGCTTAAGTATATTTCAAGCAACTGATGAAATTCACTACTCCTGGAAAATGTTCATTATTTAGTGAAACTATAGAGTCATGGGTTTAAAAATTGTCTTAATCTCCCCAAAATGAATCATGCATGCAGACAATGGAGACAACTCTTTCATACAACAATTTCTTTAATATTTATTGTTTCATAATTAATGGGACATCTATACTTCTAAATTTGCTGACATTTTAAGCCACTGAGCTGCAGTAAATTCTTCAACTATATTGGGAAGGCATAGACCAAGCTTGCCTGCCCATAATTGGGCTCAGAACAAAACCTCTAAGGTAATATCTTTCAAAATATTTCTGCACAGTCTCTGTGGCATTTGATGAGTCAATTTGAGTTGTGGATTTCACAGAGTTCAAAAGTATAGTGAGAGCAGTATACATCTATATATTTATATAATCTTTATTCTGGGCAGAACAAATCACTTTTCCCAATTCTCCACTTTATTTTTGATATTCTGGAAATTTTCATTCACAATATATTATAACAAAGCCTATCTGGGGCATTTCACCTCTTATATTAACAAACACTGAATGAATTAAGGATGGATTGAATCAATTATATTTTGAGAGTCAGTGATACAGTATTGTGTGTGTGTGTGTGTGTGTGTGTGTGTGTGGTGTGTGTGTGTGTGTGTGTATAAAAACACAGGGAATAATACTGGACAGTTCATTTCTATATCTCACTTCCTTGTCTTGAAAAGCTACCCTATCTTAAGATCTATTAGAAATAATAGTGTGTGTATGTGTATCTGTATGAGTGTATATGCATGCAAATTCATGCGAGCTCTCACTAGAGATAGAACCCAGGGCTTTCTGCAGACTAGACAAGAGCTCCACAACTGAGCTACATTCTCAGCCAGTATTTAATAATTTAGCATTTATTATGCTTTTATTGCTGTGCTAATGATTACATTAGATTCTTCAAGACTGTCGTTAAACGTAAAATACATAAAAGCACATGGGTTACTATAAATTACAAGAATTTGTATGTTAAAATATAATGAGAAAAATGTACATTTCACCAATGTAAATGATGCAAAGTACTAGAGAGTGCAGTCTACCCTTGGGAAATTTTCTGTTCAGAATCGAGAGATAAATTTTTTTTCATTTAGCATATTCTGTCTTTAGTTACTATGTTCAGTTACTATGTCCTTATTAAAAGAGTATAACTATCCTTGAGCTATTTCACAATTAACAGCACTTTATCACCTAATACCTAATTTTCCTATTAATAAATGCGTCAAGCAGAATAATTTTCATTCCCACGGAGATGACTACCTCTGATCCCTGGAAATCATGATTATGTTAAATTACATAACCACGTGGAAATAAGGTACCACATAGAATTAAGGTAATGAACTGACTTTAAAATATGGAGATGAATCTAGATTGTCCAGGTTGGCCCAGGAAAATCTTAGGTGTCTTTAAATGAAGGAATAGTGACACTGAAGAATCAAAATCAGAAAAATGTCACC